TTTTTTCTGTGAAAAAAAGTGTAAAAACCAGTGACGAGGTGTACCAAAATACCGTCCTAACAAACATAGTGGAACCTCTTTCTCAAACAATGCTCAAAAACAGACATTGGATATTCCAACAGGACTCTGCACCAGCTCATAGTGCACAAAGCATATTAAACTGGTTGACCGCCCGTGGAATTGACTTTATTGGACATGAAGACTGGCCCTCTTCTAGTCCAGATTTAAACCTACTGGATTACAATATATGGCAACATTTGGAGGAGAAAGTCTGCGCTAAACCTCATCAAAATTTGGAATCTCTCCGAGCATGTTTGGCTAAAGCAGCGGCAGAAATATATATGAATGTGGTGCGTGCTGCGATTGATGATTGGTCGCGTCTGTTAAGGGCGTGTATTCAAAATAGGGGGGCATTTAGAACAATGTAAATAAAATTGTATTCTAAACTAAATTACCTTTCATTTCATATATAATTTATGTATACTTATCAAAAAGTGTATCATTAATTTTATAAAAGTATTTTGACAGAACAGACTAAGTATATATATAAGTACATAATCACGAATTCAAATATTTTAAAAATAACTTAAATCAGCTTTAAATAGAGGTGTCTAGAGTGAAATCGAGAGCTTCAACTATGCAGATATTGTATCCGAATTTACCTTTAAGGCCCACCAACGTACATACGGAATTCCATTTTGGTATTCCGTATCGATATTCTGATTCGGAATTCCAATTCCATATTAAATCAAGGAGCCATCTCACACGTACGATAGTTTTCCGTCAGAAATTTAGCGGGCAAAACGAGATACCGAATGTGGCCGACCCGTTCGGAATTCCGAAACGGAATCCTAAAACGGAATTCCGTATATATGTGGCGGGCCTATAAGTGAAAAGTCTAATGACCTGCTCAGAAAAAAGTTTTATGAGCGTTATTAGGCATGGCATATTAATCCTTACGAACAAAAGTAACTTGATCATCAAGAAAATTTCATAAGATAAACTTTTCTGTTTACGGCATGGTATTTGTACGCATAATTTGAGATAATAATTCAGCACTAAGTTCGGCGCGCGATAGACGCCTAGCCACCCGGGGTCTATAAGCATCTAAGCGAGTAAGTCAAGAGACTTGTTGGTGACTTATAAACTGAACATTTTATATAATTTATTTGACCCAAGGTAGCTGCTGATGCTTCGTTTTTTATAGCATGAGAATAACAAACCAACACATAGTCTACCTGATGGTAAGAGGATGACAGGGCCTATTCCTTACTCATATATTATTCCGAGAGATCGTGGTTTTTCCCCGGTTGAGCTGATCTATTCGTGATACAACCATAAGATAGCTGCAGCATACTTCGGGTTTCTGACCCAGCTTACAGGCTGTCAAATCGGTAAATCTTACAAAACCTCAGCCGACCCTCAGTTTAATTAGAGACTGTAATTTTGCATTACGGACAGTAGCGTTTTTAACATAACTTTTGGTAAATTTAAATTTAAAATTCTATCACCGTCTTTAAACTCTTATATTTTTTGTATCATATATGACGTATTAAATAATTGTTGGTGCGTCTGTTACTCGGTGTTTTGAAGACGATGTACTTAAAAGAATATCAGTACCTTACCATGCTGCACATCCAGCTCTGGGACATTTAAAGTCTGTAACTTTAACATATTCTCGAAATATTTTCAATAAATAAGAGCTTTTACGCTTTTACGCGACCGCCGGGCACAGTAAAAATGTTGAATGGTTTGTTTTCTTCAGGTAAAGTAGCATTTTCAGTGTTTGTTAACATATTTTTGTGTGTGCACACAGTCAGTCCAAACTGATAAACTAAAACATTAAGAGAAGTATAAGTTAAATCGCGCAAACTCTGTACATTGAAGAATAAAAACTCGTTTCAGCATAGTAAACTATCATCTTCTGTCGTTTCAAAGGAAAGATTAAAAGAACATTAAAGAATAAAGAAATTGCTGCGAGTCATTTCTTTGATGTCAAGTGTACCTTTCACGGCCCAACATTACAATCTGTATTGCATGTTTCGGCAAAAAGCTTTAGACACATTAAAGTAAACAAATCTTGCAAGCTTGTATGTATATAAGTTTTAATAGTCTACAACAACTTTTATAGTTTCAACCACTGGGAACAATTTTATGAATATTAAAAATTAGAAAGAGCATCTATACCCGTTCCACCAACTTATGTAGTTCTTTAATTTCCTCAAAACATTTCTGCCGCTTAAGACAACTATTTGAATTCGACCTTCCTGTTTTAATTACAAAATCACTAATTTTTTTCAATTACTGTCGCCGAATTAACAATTAACACAAAAAAAAATGTTAAAAGAAAATAAATTTTTAGAAATAAATTATTTCGATATTAAAAAAAAGCATAAAATCCAGTTGAAGTCATTGCATGGGTAATAGTATAATATACTTTGCATTTCATCCTTTTTTAAGTCTGATAGTAAACGAATGAATCCATTTATTCTCTCTCCGCAATCGCAAATTTTAGTGATATTGATTAAAGTGCCAGACTAGTACCTAACTTTGTGAAAGACTGGTGGCTGATACAAGTTCAAAAAACTGTCTCGTTGGTCACCAGAAAATTTACTATTACTTTTTATTAAAAGTTTAACTTTTTGACCCATTTGAGTGAACTATAAAAAATCACAAGCTCAAGATATCAATAAAAAACGACGTCTAAATAGTAACATTAAATACTTCATCCCCTACTTTTTTCTCCATATTTATATACGACCAACCGAAAGTTATAGTTTATTGAATAAAAAAATGGTTGACAATTGAAGAATATTTTGCGTAGCATACATACAAAAAAATATAATACAGCGATATGGAGAACTTACGATTTTGTAGATATGAAAAAAAAACGTTAAAATACAAACTTTTGACGAAGATTGACTATATACAGAATGGGGTCTAACATATATGCAATTAATTAAACCACAAGTAATACTAGTCCATAGAAGTGTAGAAAAATTAAATATTAAATTAAAACCCGTAAAATAAAAAAGTGAAATTTTCCAACAAAATAAATATTAAAATAAATTCAGTAAAACTCAAACACTCTGTTTAGACAACGTACCTTGACCCCTTGGAAGAGTGACAACGTTGCACGCGGGTGGCATGGCGGTTGGCGGCAGGCAGCGCTATTGTTTGTCGGCACGGCCTATGGTTCGTTGACAATGTGCGACGAAATAAAAACTTACTCACTAAATTGATTAGGTATTTTACCGCCACTTTTTTATTTCGCGAAAATGGAACTGAACGAAATAAATATTATTGCATATTAGTAGCAAAATTTAATGAAACCCTAAATTTTAAAAATTTCAAAATCGTTCTTGAATGCACAAGTTACATCGCCGCATAATGTTGTCCTGAAGCTTGCTCAAAAAATTTCGTTCAGGATCCAGAGCCAGGGCTTTTAATTTGTTAAAGGCGGCAACAATACGATTGAGCAGTTCGTCTTCGGTTTCGAAAATCTTTGAGTACACTTCATTTTTAATAAAGCCCCATAAAAAAAGTCTAGAGGAATGAGGTCAAAAAAAGTAAAGTAGTGTCAATATCACAGTGAAAAAATTAACGTACTTAAAACACTATTTACACACACAAAGTCAATTAACTAATAAGTGTCTATTTCACCGTAAAAGAATTGTTTGACTAATTGTATTTATCATACGATAATACGATAATTATCTTACGATAAATAATTACGATGCGCGTAGGCAGCGAAACGCACCTGTATCCTGGAACAATTGCGCACAAATTCCAAAATGGCGAAAATAATAAAAGTAATAAATAGGGCGGCCACAAGGTGCAATAATCGTTTATCGATACTTTTCTTTTTACGCTTACTTACCTACTACATTTGAATACAAGTAATTTTGATTTTTGATTTGATAACAATCGACAAGTTATTGATTGTTAAAAAAAAAGTTTATTTTTGTACAATTGAACTTACGAAACTACCGATTTGTGACTTCCTGGGAAACGGGTAAGTATGTACGACTTTTTAATTGGTTGTTTTTATGGGTTTTTTTATCATGTTAAAATAATTTATTATCTCTAAATCTACAAGAACACACTTAAACAAAAAAAAAGCTTTAAAGTTTAGCTTTAAATACTTAGGTCGTAGTGTTTTTAGGATTATCATAACAACACGATAATTATAAAAAAACCATAAAGCTCAAAATTAAAAAAAGTTCAAAGCTAAACATTTTTTTTGTTTATCGATTATTACTTACTCCCTTTGAAATAAGCTAATCGTCGATAACAGGTGTCCTACTCTACGACAAAGGCGCGCGCGCAGTTGCGCCGTCGCCTTTGAAGTACGCCGCGTGCCTCGTGCCGCTTGTTTATGCACGCCGACAAAAGACACCGCTGTCAATACGTCGCAATACCAATAGTTTGCACTGCGTGGCAACGTCGCTTTTTAATGTTCAAGGATTCAAGTTCATTGAATCATTGACTTAGTGACCCAATTCTATAGAGGGTTCAAATTTGCTTAATATTAAAACTCTACTTTTTGACCTAATTACTGGGCCGATTACGTTATTTTTTGTATACCGTCAGCAAAGGCGATAACAAGTATGTGGTTTCATTTATTGCATATATGTGGGACCCCATTCTGTATATGTAAAGAAGCTTAAATCTTTATACAACGGGCACAGTTACGCGATTAGGAAGCTAGCAAACATTTACTTTATTATTCTTAGATTCGTTACTGCGCGTAGTACGTGGGCATTTACCCAAATTAAACTTTATAAATACCAATTTTGGTAACAGCTTCGGTTTTTGGGATATTTTGATTTTTTTTTCGTGACATAATGAAATCAACTAAAACCATTATTTTGTCCACAAAAATAGAGCTAGGTAAATTATTACAAAGAATTATGTGTGGCATAAAAAGGCCAATTTGTTTTTCAAATATCAACTTCACCTACATAAGATGCACCGTTAATTGACGCAGTTCAGAAAATATGAAGCGTAGTTCCTGTGTGGATGGCACACGTATCTCGCGGGTCATGAGTAAAGAAACCTCGCGGTAAGTTATACTTAACGCTTCAATTAAACTCGTATAACTGACGTTTGTTATGTAACATATTTCAGTAAGATTGATACATATTGATGAACACTTTAGGTATTCCATAGTTTTTCAGACGGAGGAATCAAACAAAAACTGTCAGATATGTCGAAAACAGGCAAAAATCGTGGAGACTTGATTCTCAGGATGAGTCTTGGATCTACAATCTACATACTTAATTTAGTTTAATTGGGTCCTTCAGGGTGCGATCCTACTCTCTCCTGTCCGGTTTTATTACATGCTTTTAGCTGTCAAAACTTGTAAAGTTTTATGAACCACTAAGTAATTAAAATATTTTTAGGGTTCCGTAGTTACATAACAAGGAACCCTTAAAGTTTTGCCATGTCCGTCCGTCCGTCCGTCCGTCCGCGGTTTTGTTTAGAGACCCTAGGTGATACAAATATGTAATTTGGCATAGTTATAGATATTAACCACGCCTAGAAAACTATGAAATAAAATCTTAAAAATCATTTTAGTTTTGGATATTTCCCATACAAGAATTTTTATTTATATAGGAGAGGGGGCAAACTAAAATACGGCTCACGTCATGATAAGTGACCATCGCCGCCCATGAACCACTGCAACACCAAGGGGGTTGCAGTTGTTTTGCCGGCCTTTTAAAAAGTAGTAAGCTCTTTTCTTGAAGGTCCCAAAGTCATATCGGTCCGGCAAAATCGCCGGTGGTAAATTCTAGGTCGTACGCGGAAGAGAACTCCTAGTGAAATGTACAGTGGTGGACCGCCAAGTATCCAGATGATGTGGATACTATGGTCAATTGGAAGGAGCTGGCACTGGGGAATCTCAGCTTAGAGATAACAGTATTCCATATGAGGTCAAAATTGCGCATTGTTAAGTTGCAGGCGGTGTGCCAGCATGAAATACTGTCCCGCTTTACTGGGCACGCCAAGCTTTTTAGAGGCCAATTTGGCCTTCTCTTCCAAGTGAAAACTAAACTGTACGCCACTCGATATGTCGACGCTGAGGGTATCGACACTGGCTGAGGCAACAAAGGGAGTGCATTTAAGCTGCGGAAATACGACAAAGGGTTTAAAAGTATGCGCGTTTACCGCTAAAAAAAAATTTTAGCGGTAAACGCGCATACTTGTGTCTTCTGTGGATTAAACTGGATTAGCTTTAAACGCCCCCAACCCGACACTTTGTTCAGAAAAAACTCGACTTCAAACATAATTTTGTTCCAGTACTCGGCCACGTTTTCTGTGTATAGAGTATCACCAGTGCAGTCATCCGCATAGCATTGAATGTTACCGCTTCGCAACATACCATTATTATGAAGAAGAAACAGCGTTGGTGAAAGGAAGCAGCCTTGTGGAACTACGTTGAATATATGTGGAGCAATGAATAATAAGATGGATGAAGTATGCGATATGATGTATGATATGGAATAGACGTGTTATGTGTAAATGAGACGAAACGGAAGGGAAAGGATGCCACTACACATGGTATGTATACCGCGTACTGGTCTGGTGTAGACGAGACAGAGTGGGCATACCAGGGAGTCAGTATCATCCTTTCAGAAAGAATGGGTCATTGTGTGAAAGAGTTGTGTAAGCCCGCGACTGCTATGGATACGAGTGTAAGTGAGCTTAAAGAAGTTCTTTGTTTTAGGGGTCTACGTCCCAGACATGTCTAAGCCCACTTATATGTGATAGCAGTTTTGGTAGTTGGTAAGGATGGTGCTAATGAAATGCAAGGTTAATGAAAATATTATTATATTAGAAGATTTTAATGGAAGGTTTGGGGTGAAGAGGCTTAGTTATGAAAGGATATTGAGAACGTTTGGTGATGAAAGTATAAATGAGAATGGTGAAAGCCTCCTCACTGTATGTCTGGAAAAGAATATTTTTGTGACGAACACTTTCTTTCATCATAAGAAGATTTACATGGGAAAGAGGTAATGATAGAAGCATGATAGGTTTCATAATTGTGGATGAAATAATGAGGAGCGCGGTGGTAGATACAAGGGCTTAACGGGGGTCCAACGTAGAGGTGGACCATTAGTTGGTCTTATGCGGAATTAATGGTCTATTCAGACGTTGGCGGCATCGGACATCTGTGTTTACCACTGCGTTACAGCGTATAAGAACAGAGAGGTAACAAGATGAAGGTGTGAAAGAAAAGTTCAAATGTAGACTGAGAGAAAATATAAGTGGTATGGCTGAATTGTGTATGAATGATTTAGACTTGAAGACTGTGTGGTATAATGTCATGAAAGGTTTGGTGGATGTAACTACCGAAGTATGTTGTGTAAGTAAGAGAACGACTGAAAGGAAAAATAACATGTTATGGTGGGATGAGGAAGTACCGATGGAAGTTGAAGCAAAGAAGAAAGCATGGCTGGATTTACTAGCAACCAAGGCTAGTAATTCTAGCGGTATGAATGACGATATTGAAAGGAAAAAGCAGTCTGAAGACATCTAAATAAGAGAGTAAAAGAAGTAGTTGAAAGGAAAAAGCAAGAAAGAATGGATAAGAATGATAGAAGAATATCTGATAACTTCCAGGCAAACATTAAAATATTCTGGAAACTCGTAAAAACTACCAGAGGAAATTTAAAACAGCCTAGAATGAATGCTATACGAGACCAAAATGGCTGTATTCTGAATGACGATTTTTCGAGTTTAAAGAGATGGATGGATATTCCTACCTTGAAAGCGTGTTTATGAGCGAAATTCCGAAAGTAAAGGAAACAGATAGAGATATAAGTATAGATGAAATAATGAAAGCAATGAAAAGTATGAAAGCAGGTAAGGCAGCCAGATATGATAGAGTATCTCTCGAAATGCTAGGGGTTGGAGAAGGAGAGGTGGCAGACCTGCTGTACACCTTGTTTAATTTATGTTCAGAACTTAAAGGAGTACCGAGAGACTAGTGCAAAGCCGTGATAGTCCCGATATATAAAGGAAAAGGATAACAGCAGGACTGTAAAAACTACCGTGGTATCAGCCTTCTTAGCATTGTGGGAAAACTGTATGCTAAGCTACTAATTGAAAGAGTTTTGAAAGAAACTGATGGAAAATTTTGGGATGTGCAAGCGGGATTTAGAAAGGGAATGAAGTGTACGGATCATGTCTTTTCCATGCGCATGGTCGCGAAGAAATTTTTGGCCAGAAACCAAAAAGGATTTTGTGTGTTCGTGGACTTGGAAAAGGCTTCTGACAGAGTGGACGGGGATGTATTACGGCAAACACTGAACTCATTTAGGTTGAGCGCTGCGTGACCTTAACGCGTGATACAGGCATTAAGTTCACGCAGCGCTCAACTCTTTATAGGGACTCCAGTGCTTGTGTCAGGATTAACGGGATCTAATCGGACTAGTTTGGCATTCAAAAAGGTATCAGACAGGGCTGTGTAGCTTCCCCGTGGCTGTTCAACCTATTTGTGGACAGTTGTTTGGAAAACTTGAAAGTAGAAGAATGCGGGTTAAGAATGGGTGAATTAACCGTCAAATGCCTTTTATACGCCGATGATCAAATCATACTTGCGTCGTCGGCGGCCGAGTTGCAAATGATGGTTACATTAATGAACAGGACATTAAAAGAAAAGGGAATGAAAGTGAACGTAAGTAAGACGAAATAAGAACAGAAGGGGAGTTGATCGAGCAAGTAAATGAGTTTGAGTATTTGGGATGGGTATTTAGCAGAGATGGTAGATATGATAAGGATATAGAACGACGAGTGAACGCAGAAAATAGAGTGAGTGGGGCTCTACACTCTATTGTTGAAAGTTAGAATGTGTTCAAAAAGTCACGTATGGCAATTCACAATGCTGTGTTAGTCCCTACTTTAATTAATGGTAATAAAAGTTGGGTGTGGCAGAAGAAGCACGAAAGTAGAATAAATGCTGTAGAAATGCGGTCATTAAGGAGTATGTTTGGGATGAATCTGAATGACAGGGTAAGAAATTGTTTGATAAGCGAAGAGTGTGGTTTGTAAGATGATGTTATGACCAGGATTAACAAAAGAATGCTTCGGTGGTTTGATCACGTAGAAAGAATGAATGAGTAAAGAGTCACAAAGCAAATTTATGTTGCAGAGATGAACGGCAGAGTCGGAAAGGGACGAAGATATATTGAAAATGGGCTAAATTAAGTGTATCTTGAACCGATGAGCATGTATGCGTAGGTATGTGGATGTGGTAGAAGCGAGAGAAGTGTGTCAGGATCGTGCCAAATAGAAGTCGATAGTCTCTACCTAATCCTCTGGGTGCCTGCAGCATTAGTCATGTATCCCCCCATCTACCAAGTAAACTGCTGTATATGGAAATGTGAAAAGTATACACTATAATGAAGTTAAAAGAAAAACTATCACAGCTAAGTAGGATTTACAAGTTAACGAGTAATAGTCGAACAAGTTATATAATGCAACTTGGATTAGTAAAAATTTCGTTACAACTCCATAGAAAATTACCTAAAATTAGCTGCATTATAACTGATATGTTATTTTAAACTATTAAAAATAAACATTTTATGATGAAAACGACTGATATGAATTACTACTATTAGCTTTATTTTTTCATTTGTTAGATAGATAAGGTGTTGTTTTTTATTAAATATTGCTACTTTATAAAAAACTGTTTTAAAAAGTTTTACGTCGACGTCCGAATATTAATTTTATATGTGGTTACGATAACTCTCGAAAAAATTGACGTATCCAGACCGAGTTTTTGAAATTATGCTTCTTTTGGGGCGTTTGGAAAAAAATATGAATTTTTACTATGCGCGCGCAATAAAACGACACCATGAAGTTGTTACGATACGCGCGCACACTGTCACCTAAAAGAGACAACTTCAGTGGGTAATTGTCTCTCCAGTTTATTTGTTTTCTTACAATAAAGAAGTATAACTTCCTACGTGCGTACATAAGTACACACACACTTTTTTTAAATCTTGAGTGCACTGAGCCTTATTAATTGTCATTGCATAACTCAATGATACTGGGAATTGTGTTCTTTGAAATTGGAATGGAAAATTATTTGGTATTATGGGAATTCTGGGAATAAAGACGGTTTCTCCTGCACCGCAACCTGTTAAAATTTGAGCCTCGATTATATTTTGTTGCAACTGGTTTATTTTTAGCTGAGTTCCATTGCAAAGTTGTGGTGGTCTTAAATTTCGGAGCAGAATAATCGGAATGCCAATTTTTAAACAAATTTCATGAGAAGGAAGTCCGGGTATATTTAAAGAATTTAAAAATTCTATCGGGTAATTAGTGGCTTCTTGTTCATCGACCATTCTATTTATTGAACTATGAATTTTGCTTTCCCCCTGTATATTCGACAGTATTTTGTTATTAATCTCAGATGCCTGGTCATTGCGAGGAATTAAAATAGATCTTTCGCATAGCCAAAAATTGTCCCTATTTAATATAATTGTTACGTCACTGTAAACCGACGATATAAGATGTGGTTGGGATTGCACTATACAACATAACTCAGGCGTCAGAATAAGTTTTCCTTGGTGTAGTTGTGGATAGGTACCTTCCCCAATCTTTAATAATTTATCAGATAATTGACGATCATCTGGGTTATCTCCAGTTCTCACTCGCATGTTTATAGTCAAATGTACCGATTGTGTATCACGCCACAAATAAGAGCTTTTAAGGAAAGCCCTAACCTCATCAGCTTGGGTTCCCCGTGGTATTACCGGTAAGGTTTGTCGGAAATCACCACAAAATAAAACCTTGATACCACCCATTGGTTGATCATTTTGTCTTATATACCTTAAAGTTCTGTCTACCGCTTCTACTCCTTTTCGGTGGGCCATCGTACATTCATCCCATATGATTAAATTACACTAACCTAATAACTTAGCTTTGTCGCTATTTCTTGAAATACTACAGGTTGGACTTTCCGTGCGATCTAAATTAATTGGTATTTTAAACATAGGGTGAGCATTTTTACCTCCTGGTAGCAATGTTGCAGCTATACTTGATGAAGCCACGGCAAGAGCAATTTTACGCTGATTTCGAACATAAGCTAATATTAATTTGGTCAAAAAGGTTTTCCCAGTTCCTCCAGGTGCATCTAAAAACCATATTGTTACCAAATTATTCTGAACACTCTCGCACACGCGATCATAGACTGAACGTTGTTCTGCAGTCATCATTGGGACACCGTTTTCTAATGTTGCCAGCAGTTCCATTGAGTTGTAACCAATCTCTGCAGAATATTCCCTATTCGTAACCTCTCCGACTGAAGTTGGTGTTGGCAAACCATATTCACAGAGTGATTTACCGCCTACTGCTGTTAAGTCTTCCTGAAGAGCTAATAAGCACAGATTTATGGCAAGATCACGGAAATTATCATTAGTTGCGCCTTCATCATTGTTAGATATATTCCGAAGAAAGTCTTCTGCAAATTTTTCTTTATATTTTTCCCATAGTTGTACAGCATCTGACAAATTACAAAATGTGAGTAATGTTACAAATAAATGGCGTAACCGTGGTGGATTATCACTAACACAGGATTCTGCTAAAGCGTCATCCCAATGCTGATCATTTTCAAGCAAAGGACGCGCTTGGCAAGCTTCATGATAAGTTGGATAAACAACATCGTCTACTTTTCTCAAATCTATAAATGATGTTGGTCTTCGCACTGTATGTAATAATAATCGCAAATAGAAATACTCAGCGTTGTTAGGATGAACGGTATACACTCTACCAAGAAAATGTTCTTTGAAAATACCTGACTCGCCATCTACAGGCCTGCCACGGCATCTACGATTAAAGACACCTCGTTGCTTATCGTAGGTATAATACGATGGAACTTCCTCATACAAAAGAGATTTTGCAAAATCATCAGTTTAGAAAAGTCGAAAGAATGCCAATAAAGTTGTTTGTCTAGGGTTCTCTAATCGTTCTGTAACATTTTCGGCGTTGAAATATATACGTTGACCGCCTTCAAGTTGAACATCCAGATGAGTCATAGGTGGATATCTTTCGTGAATGTTGAAATTTAAGATCCGCCACACAGCTTCTGAAGAGCTGATATATCTGCCTGACTGAAATCTAGTAACTTCATCATGTACTTTTCTCAACGCAAATGTAGCTTGGTCACTGCCCTTGTTAATATACTTACAAATATATTTTATTGACTCTACACTATTACACATTTCAACATTTATGTGAGCTTGAAATGCTCTAGACATCACAGGCGAATACGAAACGACCCACCTATTATCTAAAGTAACCTGTTATCCAGACACTCGCTTTACAACAGTAAAACCACCATTGTCTTTTGAACGGCGACGATATAATGGGTATCCATCATGTCCTGTTACAGTTTCATCCACTAATGCTTTTGGATATCTTTTAGTGCAACGACCGTCTTGGATGCAAGGAGCATTCCCGTTAAATGCACCACATGCACCATGTATCATATGAGTTTTAACAATGTCGTATAACACGGGATCTGCAATCGGATCTGGAATTTCAGCACTGATTGAACTGTCTACATCATTAGGTCAAACCTTATCTTTTAACCAAAGCAGGATATGTGCGTGAGGTAAGCCGCGTTTATGCCACTCAACACTATACATGTAACACAACACATCTCCAAAAAAGTAATCTTTGGTAAGTAGATCTATCATTGATTTTAATTTTAAACGAAAAACTTGCGATAATATCATGGCGGTCATGGGGTGCTTGACCCTCAATAAGCTCCCGAGTGATTTCATCCCACTTGGGATTGGTAGTTACAGTAATAAATAAGTCGGGACGTCTATATTTTTTTACGTAAAAAAAAGCATCTTGAGTACGTTCGCGCATGTAGCGTGGTAGCAGTAAAAGAAGAGGGTAAAATAACTAAACGGCCCATTTTCACTGTATCATTATCTTGCTGCATGGCGTCTCGAAGGTGCACGTATTCTTTAGCGCGCAGCTGCCTTTGATTAGATCGTATATAAATAAATCTTTCGGTTTCGGTTACATAAAAACATAAATAGCTTTAATAAGAATAAGGATGTTCATACCTTAAACACTAGGAACAAACATAAGCTTATAATGCCACTTACTAGACTCCACAGAATTAGTAATTCATTTATGGGGCAATGTATACGCTTTTACAACAAAATCCCAGAACATGTTCAAAGTTTGTCAATAAACAAGTTTAAAAGTTTTATTAAAGAAAAACTGTACAAAAAGGGTTATTATAATATCAAGGAATACATGAATGAAAATAACCCCTGGGAATAAGGTGATCGCCACCATGCTGTTTCCATGAAAATTCATTTAAAATTGTACAAACAAAATTATTGTTAAGTGAAATTATGTTTAAAAAAAAAGTCCCGCTGGGTTTCTTGCTGGTTTTTCCCAGGACAGAGGTATTTTTCGAACCAGTGGTAAATAAAATAATGACTTTCAATAAGTATTATGTAATAATCCATATTGAATAAAAATCATTCTATTCTATTCTATTCTATTCTATTCTGTTTAAATTTTTGCGTACATGTCAACAATAAACTGATTGAGTAAGCCACGAAAACGTTGAAAGTATACAAATCTATTCCGTCTCACTTGCAAGTGGTAACAATAAAATTGAAGGCATGACATCTTTTTATTATAATTAGGTGCGCCTGTACGCGGATCAGTTTGGTATAAAGCGAAATTATAACCATCTTCCCCTCGAGAGTATATCAAAGGATATTGCAAACTGTCGTAAGCCCTGTGGGATTCGTAAATACGTTGCAAACGATTGTCTCTGGAACGGATAACGATATCACGCCTACCACATTCCTGGTCGACCAATACTACAGCAACTTCATTCGTGGTTGGAACGTTATAACGCCCAGGGTGTTCCTGAGTTGGACGCCTATCGGATATTATAACAATTTTATAATTGTTATCACCATCTTGAGGAAGAGCTTCTAATGTCGATTCAAAACTGCATACATACGAATTAACCTGATGCAACCTGTTCTGAAGTTGTGAAATAAGTTCAGTATTTTAATTCGGGAAATATTGATTTCTTATATTCGACTGTTCGTTGTAGACGGATACAAAATATATTTGAAGAAACTTAGGTTGGTCTTCAGGCAAAAGGGATCCTATCAAATGGTAAACCTGACCTTGTATCTTTAAAGTAGGCATGAAAGGACCTTCTGATATTTGTTGAGCGCCAAAGGATATCATTTGAATCGCACTATTATAAGTGCGAATATTGTCTAAGAACTGTTTAGATTGCATATGTTCCCCTAAAAGTAGTGACTTCAAAGATTCCGGTGGATCTTGGAACGAAGGCAACAGAACAACAGAAACCAGCCGACTCCTTACTCCACTTTGAAGCATTACAAAAAGAACATACTACGTTCATATCGCCTATTACAGAAGATGATCTGTAATCAATTGTGAGGTTATAAGCAAACCCACTTTTATATTTGTCGGACCACGCCACCGAATTTGTAGATTGATCTTATATGTGTATATCTACGTCATTAAGACTATGTCAAAATCTGTCTGCAGTAAGACGGGCCTCTCGCTGTTCGTCCGTTTCAAGAGACCGAATATTTTCAATTCTTAATCTTTCATTAGACAAACTTATTAATCGTACTTGTCTCAAAGAATTGTAATATTCGCGTCCCGACTCTAGTCGTTGTTCATGCTCATGTTCATCTACAAGAGATTGAATAATATTATGGTGCTTCCTATCATTTGTCAAACGGTCTTTATATTGAGTAAAAGTTTCAGATTCTCGAGATAAAATATGACGTTCGCGATCAGCTGTGAGACGTAATTCCCTCTCAGTGTAGGTTTCGGACTCGCAAGATAATGTATGCCGTTCGCGGTCAGCTGTGAGACGTAATTCTCTCTCAGTGTAGATTTCGGACTGACGGGATAGTACATGCCGTTCGCGATCTGCTGTGAGACATAATTTCCTCTCAGTGAAGGTTTCGGTCTCACGAAATAGTACATGCCGTTCGCGATCAGATGTGAGACGTAATTCCCTCTCAGTGTAGGTTTCCGACTCGCGTGATAATGTATGCCGTTCGCGGTCAGCTGTGAGACGTAATTCCCTCTCAGTGTAGGTTTCGGACTCGCGAGATAATGTATGCCGTTCGCGGTCAGCTGTGAGCCGAAATTCTCGTTGTGAAGCAGTTTCAGCTTCTCGGCATAACACATGTTGTTCTCGGTCAATGGTAAGACTTAGCTCTCGTTGAGAAGAACTTTGAGACGCCCGTGATGTAGCTCGTCTCGCTCTGTCAGCTGCTAATCGCATCTCTCTTTCTGGACAGCTTTCATTGGCTCGAGAAGTTGAGGCACTAACTCTCATAGAGTTTAACCGATGTGCTCTTTCCTCTGCCGATTCTTGAGAACGCACATTTCTCATTCTCTTAGTTTTTTAGGTGACATTGTGTATTTTATTTTTAATCGACAGCATTCAGTTACCTAACAAAATAATCTACGTTACAATTCCTAACTATAGCTACCATACACTTAAAAAAATCTAAATGCCTAATTAAATAATAAAACGAATCCCAAATAAATCCTTAACTTCAAAATTAAATTCTTAAAAATATATAAGTAGGTACCTAAACTACGTCTAATGAAATGAAATAACCTATTTGATACCTAGGTACCTATTTAAAACTACAGCTAAATAAAAAAAAGTTTAATTTATAATTAAGCTAATAGTACTAAGAAATATTTAAACACTACCAAAATAACTAATACCTATTTTTTAAAATAACAACCAAAGAAATCTAAAAATAAATTATTAAACATAAGAGTCGCGCTGATAAGCACGGTTTGTTAAAATCAATTATTGTCTGTCAATAAGGTCGAACACTCTGAACGTCTATTCGCATCAACAGCCAAATATTGTATGAAGCTCGCACTCGGGCCCCCTTTTTATACCTCCCGCCGCGAGCCGCGTCGAGCGCGGCGACCGTTACACAAAAATAATCCTTATATCATGATTCAGTATTCACGCGCGATGGCTTATTAGCGTATTTCATGTATAACTTTGGTGTTTCTATACCGATTTCTATGATTCTTTTTTATTGAATAGATAATAATGTTAACTTTTTTTAATTAGGGATGAGTGAGAGTGTTATAAACGTAAGAGTAGACAAATATATTCAGAAAGCTCCGCACTGCTAAGCTATGGGGAGTTACACGTGTTATTGTGAGTCAATCATAAAAGATAGACATATGCTGTCGTGGGATATTTTTTATATAATTTTAAGGAGAACATTTCCGTTCTACATGATTTCTGTGTAGCTTTAACCACTAAGGCTGCACACGCGACGGAAGCTTAAAAAATGGAGTAATTTCTCCCGTTTCCCCAAAATTTACCTTCACTGCTCTGCTACTATTGATCGTAGCGTGATAAAAAGTATGCTTTTTAACCTGCCCAGGAGTATGAAGAATGATGTACCAAGTTTCGTTAAAATCCGTCGAGTAGTTTTTGTTTCTATAACAAACATACAGACAGACAGACAAAAATTTTACTGTTTGCATTTTTGGCATCAGTATCGATCACTAATCACCCCCTGATAGTTATTTTGGAAATATATTTCATGTACAGAATTAACCTCTCTACAGATTTATTATAAGTATAAATTATAGGTATGATTATAATACGAAAAAAGATTAGTTTAATTATATTGTAGTCCCAAGGCAACTGAGCTTTGCTTGTGCTTGGCGTTAAAGTGATATTTTTTAAAGATTACACCTATTAAGAAAACCTTGTAAAGTAAAACATTATCTGAGTACAAATTTCATCAAAATAGTTGAGTCTGTTTCCGAGAAACCAGCTATATGTAAATATAGATATTTTATATAAGCTTTTACGACTTTGTCTGCGTAGAACTTAAAAGAAGAACTTAATAATATTTAAAGTTTTTATAGCAAAAATATATTGAAGTAAATAAAAATTACATATCAATTTTGCATCAAAAGTTTAAGAGATAGAAGAAAAAGTGCAAGGACCTCTTATGCGTAAAAAGTTTCGTCTGAGACTTTTTGCTCTTAAGCCGGTAATATATGTTGGCCAAGCCTCAGCCAACGCGATCGTAGGCAAATTGGTTCAATGCGATTGCTACAGTCTACATGTTGGCCTAGTTTGAAAAAGTCAACATACTGACGTGACCGACTAACATGTCGATACCATGCCAAGTGCAGGCGAGCCCCTTTGATTTGTGCAGTAAAACCGACACATCGCGTCAAAATTTAAGATACCTTTAAGATATCTGGTTGCTTAGCGGTCCATCACTGTTCATTTTACTAGGAGTTTTCTTCTTCGTACAATTTCTCTGTGGGATTCGTACGAGGATTGGTTACCACCGGCGATTTTTCCGGACTGATGCGACTTAGGGACCTTCAAGAAAAGGGCTTACTTTTTCTGGAAGGCCGGCAACACACCTGCAATTCCCCTGGTGTTGCGGTTGTTCATAGGCAGCGGTAGTCACTTACCATAAGGTGAGCCACATGCGGTCGTTGCAAAGATCAAGTCGGTCTACTCATATGATCGTGCTTTTACGAAATTAATCACAAAAAGATTGTTTTAAAGTTACAAACAAATATTTACACAATGAGAAATAAACACACACACAAAAGCTTAACTATAGTCTATATAGGGTCATAAAACTATAGTTATTTAAAATTTATTTTATTTCCTGGATATTATGTACGTAGCAGAAGAGAAGCGCGCGCGTAAAATTTGGCACAGGTCTTACTTCGGCTCAGTCCCCCGCTGGATACTGGCAAGCGACGCGCGGGTGAAAATCACTTGAATGATAGATATTTTTTTAAATAAAATAATGAAAAATAAAACGATCCAGTGGAATTGATTCCAAAATTAATTACCTATAAATTGATATAGGTATATAAGGTATTTGTATCTCAAGTTATATGGAGTGTATCCTTTTTACCCACTGCAATACCCCACATTATTTGTGCTGGGTATGGTGGGACACTATCAGCTCAGGGTAAGGAGAGAACTTAGACTAGTTTCATATATTTTTATGATCCTTAGGAGTAGGATTAGTAATGAGAATATGTTGAAGAAGATTAATATTTATGTTCCGGATAGATATGTATGGCGGCGGCGTCAGCCAGACCTACTGGCTGTACCTAGATGTCGCACTAACTTACTGCGAGAGGCACCCCTGACGCGAGCTTTTCGAACATTAAACCTGATCGACAGAGAATCAGATTCATTCTTTTGTACTCTGAACGAATTCACAAAACTTACTTTATGAATAGTTAGTTATAAGGTAGTATAGTAATATAGGTAATATATGATTGTAAATAGTGCTTTATCTATCGCATTGGGTAGAAACCTGTAATGTTACATATAAGGTGGATGTAAATAAATAAATAAATAAAATAAATATTTTTTTATAGAAACAAGTATTATAATACTGGTTTAAAACGAAATTTAGCTTGTAAAAAAAGCTCCAAATTGAACGTAGTTCTGTAATTTTTTCCTACTAGAAAATTGTATTGTATCGTGTATTGGCCAAGTACATCGTAAGTAGAAAGAATGTGTCTAAAATATATATTTTATTCAGATTCTAAATGTAATAATTTGACTATCAAAAACAATTTTAAAACGAACGAAAACAGGAACACCCATCCTTAATTTAAAGCAAAATATGTACTATTATTTATTTACTATTTTTATAGCAAAAATAAAATAATCAACTTATTTTATAATAATATGTATTTTCTTTGTGCATTTGTCTAAAAATACACAGAAATAATATTCTACTACAAGTCGTCTTGGGACTTGTCCTTGTTAATTAATCGAGCTTTCCTACGAGGCGGGTCTTTACCACGGTTGTCGTTTCTAAATAAAATTAAATAAGCCCTACGAAATTTCAAAGAAACATTTTTATTTACGCTATTTATAATCAAGCTAAGCGTATTTTTTTAATAAAATTTGTTAAATACAATTTTATATCATACTTATATTGCAAATAAACATAATATCATATAGTATACTACTCTTAGTTATATGTAAATTGTCTTAGTTATGTTATGTAATGAATATGTGCAATTTTAACATTAATATTATGGGATTTTGATCATTAATTGCGACAACAAATTTGCTCGACCTTTTCATTTCAAAAAACTCAGAATAGTGCTATACTGAGACCAGACCAGAGTTTTTTTTTATAGGAGAAGGGGCAAACGAGCATGCGGCTCACCTGATGGTAAGTGACTACCGCCGCCCATGAACAACCGCAACACCAGGGGAATTGCAGATGCGTTGCCGGCCTTTTAAAAAGGAGTAGACTCTCTTCTTAGTTATGTGGCAGATTTGCAAATTTTCCCTGCTAATTTCCGTCTGCTTTAACTAAATGGCTTTAAGTGGGGGGTAGTTTTATGTTTAATATTATCAATTATTTGTCAAAATCGATATTTCTTCCTAGCGGTAGCAGCTCATAATAAATGATGTCTTATCAATTCCATGAAACACAAAATCACCATGTTTCGCTTTGTCTAGTTTTACTTATTTATTCTGTGGTTTTACCAAAGTCTGTGAAGCTTGTCCGTGTTGTGATTGTTCTTATTATGAGTTTCCACTTCTTTTCACCCTGCTTATTTTTGTAAAAATTGTTTGGTTTTATTTACGTTTAAAAAACGGTCCAGACTATTGAGTTTTCAAAATATTGTTATTATTATTGTATACACTTTTACAAAGACTGTTCTCTGAGCTTGTGCAATGTGATACTTCAAGAATGTTACAGCAATCTGCAACAATAGACTTGACTGGTGACGACTCTTCCACTTCAGGAAATACAGTAAGGATTAATTGCAGTAAAACCAAATTGAAGAAGTATATAAAAGTTAATAAATACATAAGGAAAGTACAAAAATTAATAAGAAATAAGATTAATACCAAAAATTATGTTAATGTATGTAAAGAAAAGCAAGCATTGTTATATGAACTTAAGTTGTATTCAATTGAGGTGGATAACAT